ACAATGTACTGTATTCACCAGAAAGGCTTTTCATAATAGTAACTATCCATCAGCGATCAGGCACCCAGTGGACTAATATTGGACCACTGCCTCTGTGATAAAGGGATCCCCGCTAATGGTCAGACCATATAGCTGTTACTTTGCCAGTAACGATAAACCAAGCTCGGTGACATTTACTACGTTACAATTCCATCTGTTCCGACAGTTACCAGAATGTATTTAAGACTCGTAACGACCCTATGGAACGGGGAACCATTAAACCCTTTAAATGTTTGAAAAAAAAAGAAGCTTAGCAACAGATCACCATTGTTCGTATTTCCACGCATTTTCGTTTCAAAAAGACATTTAATTACGCCAATAATACATCTTGATATACTACAAAACAAAAGTTTATACGGTAAGTAATCTAAGTAACGGTAAGTGATTCTATAAATATATATATTAACAAATGTAAACGGAGCTAACAGTCACAAATCTCTTTAAAATCTTTTTTTGTGATACTATCGAAAAATATTGTTGTAAGTCCTGTTTCTTACTTACAAATATTTACTCTCACATTGCTTATTCATAGTTAGCAATTGTTTGTTAATAAAAAATAATTTGTCCTCAACCCCCAAAGCCCATTCATTGGAATGAAGACATGCTTTTAATATTTTTGTATGTACATTCTCCAAAATAAATTTGCTGGACATTTCTAACTCACTGACTGTGACCTTTCTCTCGTGAATAATAATATTATGAATATTTTTATAATTATCTTGTTTATGTAATTCGTAATTATCGTCAACATATTTTAATGAATCTACAAACGAAAATTTATTTTAGAAGTTCTCTATCTCATTCTGTCTCTCAGTATCCAAGCTATTCAATGTCAATGATGTGGCTGGGAGATAAACATAGGGTTCTTTTGAAGTCCTGCTTTGTCATCCACAAGTGGATGACATCGCTTGATTCAGAATTCTCTGCTAAAATGTAAATAAATGTGTTCGAGTTTACTTATTTTATATTATTTCATATCAGTTTGATATCTATTTGTTTCATAATTATTTTTTTGTTATTTTACTATGAAACATACAAAAAAAAAATTAAGCCGTTAGTCATATATAATAATAATAATGCTTTATTTATTCTGGGACGAGTTCCTTTAGAATAATACAGAGATAAGACAAAAATGTGGGCTAAGGAGCCTCAGAGATACATAAACAAAAATATAGAGTACGTAAATAGTCAAAATAAAAAAAAAAAATTAAAGAAATTATTAGTTACTTTCTAATTTAAATCAGTTAATAAAATTAAAAATTGAAAATAAACATGAAGTAAACATAATGAAGAACAATCTAATAATTTATATACATATTTACAGTAGTAACTGTTTACAATTTTATGGAGACTGGATAGATAAGAAATTATTGAACATGCGGGTTTTAAAGGCAGAAAGGATTTTGAATTGATAGTGGCACTTAAAGAAATATTGGAGAGTGTTGGATATAAGATACAATTTTCGTGGTTACCGAGTCCCTCTGGCATTAGAGGTAATTAGCTAGCCGATATCATGTCAATCAAGGAAGGAACTCCAGTAGGGGGTGCTTTTAGAAACTAAATAGTTGCTTTGGTGACGAGAAAGGCTGTTATGAAATGACAGTGTCTCTGGAATATTTTAAGAGATAATAAATTAAAAGTGGTCGAGCCCTCTGTATGTCCAAATATACCTTCTGTTGGGAAGAAGAGAAGAGATTAACCTTGCAAGACTAAGAATTGGATATTAAAGACTAACTCTTGAACAGCTATTGACAAAAGTGGCACTCTCTCAGTATATTTTCTGTAGAATAAATTTTTCAGTGATGCATAACTTAACCGAATGTATGCATGTGAAGCACATCGAAATGAACTGAAATTAGAAAATAAAATTTGCGAAATTCTGAAAAACAAAACGAAGATGGCAAAAACATATTGTTTGTATTTCTTAAAAAAACACAAGTAGATTACAAAAGTTTTTTTTTCCTTTTTGTAAGTTTTAACGTTTTAATGTCTTGTACCTCTAAGTTTATATATATATATATATATATATATATATATTGTTAATTCTTGTATTGTGTAATATAAATAGGACAAAAGTGGTAAAATTTCCCGTAAATGGTAAAAGCCCCCCTTTTTGGAAATAAATAATTCTTTAACTTATTATTTATATTATATATTATATGTTTTTTTTATTTATTTCAGAAATGTTGGTGTTTATTATGTGCAATAATTAGTTTATACGTAATATTAGGTCATCCAAAAATAACATTTATATATTTTGAAAATTATTTTTGATACTTCTGAATTTTCTGACTTACTATGCTACTCTCAACAATGCTTATTGCATTTTTCTCAGTCTTCTTAAGCGGTTGGTGTAATTGCTACAAAGAAGATAGTTTCATCCGGTATGAATCCGTTACATGAGATCATAATTAGTCGAATTCGGGTTTTCATTAAAGTAGTTATTTCCCTTGTGTGAGATATTTTTTATTATTTTTGTATAAAAAATTGAATATTCAGTTTTCCTCATTACTGAGTCGTTTTATATTATTCGCGGTAAAAGTGCATAAACATCAGTCACAAGGTTATTTTCTTTTAAAAAATAAATGACAATGTTTTTTAAATTGTTCATATAATGACGACAATCATAGGTAGAAAAAATGCATAAGAAAAGTTGCATGAGCTCCATTTTAGGTGATAAAACACGTTTAAACTCTTTTTCTTTTTTCACGATTCTCCTCTTTATTATAGGACACATAAATATTGATTTGTTAGATTTTCGCCAAATGTTTATTAATTAAATTATGTTATAATAAATTAAAACAATATTAAAAACAACCTTTCAGTTCTAGTGTTATAATTCTAATTTTTTTAGGATAATTTTTTTTATGGGAACCTCACTAGCACAATATGATTATGTTTCAATTAAAATGGAATTTTTCAACGTTTTTCATATTTTAGAAACGCATAATGCAGAATTTTTTGCTTATTACTCAAACTCGTTATCAATCGATTAGGTTTCGTAAAATTTCCCATTAATAAGATGATAACCACGAATATATTACAGCATGATAGGTGATTTATTCTTATCAGTAAATCTGAGTAGTTAACTAATTTCTTATAAAGAATAATTTTATTATTCTGGGACAAGTGTCCCTTTAGAAGAAGTTACAAATACAGAATATATATTAATATTTTGGTGTGTCCATGAAATATGATTTAATATTTACTGGTTGACTAGGGATACACTAAACTTATAAATAATAAAAAAATATAAAAAAGAGGAAATATAAAATATACAGAGAAAGTAATTAAGTAAACGAAATATCGATGAATCACAAAATAATCAGAGTATTTGGGTGTAAAGTGCGTTTCGTGATCAATCGGACAAGTAATATGTAAGGTGGACCTAATATTATTTTTTTTAAACCAGGAAAAATTAAAAAAAAAAAAAGATAGTGTGGTAGCAATACCTCTAATCCAGTGTTTGTTGGGAGGGACTTTTCACTTTTATAAAAAAGAATAAATGGATAAGCGGTCTTAAAGATGTGTTATTTTTCCTAAAACATATGAACGATAATAATTAATTTAATATAAAAACATTATACATAAAAATCCGCAATATTATGGGCCATTTGTATGAATATGAAAAATTAAAAAAAAAAAAAAAGATAGAAGTCTTTTAACACTTTTTTAATGAGTTATAATAGTGTGGTAGCAATAGCTCTAATCCAGTGTTATGGGCCATTTGTATGACTTTCAAGATTTCAATACTCCAAAAAAAAAAAATGCAGGAAATTAAGCTTAGAAGCCACACGACTTGCGGCATCACCTATTGGTGGAAAGACCCATTATTAACTGTTTGCTGTAAAGTTTCACTTTAGTAAGCTATTAGGGTAATATCGTCTGCGGAAACTATAATGAGCCAAAATTGCTTGTATGTTCATGACCTATTTTTTTAAAAATGTTTTTTATTGTTTTTTTAGTTTTATTTAACTCTTACTTTTTCCGAAATTCTATTCAAGAAATTACAGTTAAGGTAAAATATTATATTTTTATTTATTTATTTTTATCATCTAGTTTAAAAAAAAATAGGTTAATGCCCCTTACCCGTCTCCAAAGTATCTTATATATTATTTCTAAAAGGATCAATCAAATGATCAAATCCAATGATTAAGATCTTTTTCACCTTCACGTGAGAAAAATAGCCATATCCCTCCAAATTTAAGGAGAAAAAGTTATGAAGGAAAAGAAACTTTATTTGCGAATAATTAAAAAAATATGCATTTTTCTTGATTGTATCCATGATAATTAGAAATATTTACTACCAAAACAATAAAAAAATCATTGATACCGATTAGATCTTTGTAAAATTTAAACAATTTATACCGACCGAAGGAGTAATGTATACTCAAATATTTTTTCAAGGAGAAATAGGGTTGAGATTTCTCAGCGTATAAGACCCCCAAATACGAAACTTAATTTGTGAATAAATAAAAAATTATGCATTTTTCTTGATTGTATCCATAATAATTATAAAACTAATAAATTACCTACAAAAAATTCGCTGGCTGATATATACTTTATTATTTATTAAAGGGATTTTTGTGTTTGTACAGTTTATATTTTTTTATAATTTAGAAAATTCCATGATCGATACTTTATTTTGAATATTATCTTGCCTCTCAGCGTTTAAGAATTGGCCCTAGCAAATATTTTTGTCTATTATGTTAAATGGAATATTGTAATCGACCAAGGAAAACGATTAATTCCTCCTTCCCTTAATACATAGGATCTAATTATTTACATATTTTTTTGCTTTTCCCTCACTAAAAAATATGTCGACGAATTATTCGCCTGAGCCAACTAGTTAATATTAGAGGTCACAGTGACAGCATCATGATGATATCGTCATGACAACATAACGCTGTTATTCCGATGGCCTCTGACAACAGCCTGTGTAAACAAGTTTATTACAAATTATGCGAGCACCATGGCAACAAAAACATTACTCCTCCTCCCTGAGCCAATCATGCAGGCCTCATGGTTTCTGGAAATTCATAAATTGTTTAATTGGCTTTCGCCATAGAGGCGTAACCGAATACTTTGAAAGGAGGTAACTGCACAAGTTATTAGGGAAACAACACTAAGTGCCTCTCACCCGGTCTCGAACCCACTAACGGCGCGTATATCGGGAAGAGTTGAACACAAGTGGCAACTAATTAAGCAGACCTCTCCCTCCCCCATATTCTCCTATCCTTTCCCTCAAAAAGATTTTCGAACAAAGGTAATTTCTTTTATATTTTTAATTTATACAAGTTTTAAAGCTACAAGTCTTCATTCGTACAGTGCAATCGAACAAAGCTAATGAAACGCATGTGTTGAATATCAATAAATATTATTGAATAGAATAGAAAAATAACTTTATACTGAGACTAAGTCTCTTGAGAATAACAAAGATCTACAGAAATAAAAAGATCTGTCAAATTAAAAAAAAAAATAATAAGAAAACAAACTATATACAAAATAAATGAAAATATATAAAATACTATATACAAAACAAATTTATTTTAAGAAAAAAAAAACAGTCTATAAACAGCATAAAATCTCAACAAATAACAATTATATCAGTTGTTTAAAATATCATTAAATATGTATAAATAACAGTAACAAGGCTTAGCAAATCCAAAAGGTTCGATTCCAATACCCCTACTCGATGTCTACATTACACCGTTGTGTAACTGCCTAAATTCTCCGGTTGAATCATCCTTCATCGCTCTGAATATTCCGCGCAATACTTTATTTTCAAAAACCTTAACACTTTGCTTATCGCTTAATGTAAGTTGCCACGTTTCGCATTCATAAAGAGCCTTAAGAAGTTTTTGTAATGAATGATTTTGTGAATTCTTATTTTTAAGTTTCCGGACAGTAGCCATGTCATGAGCTATGTAGTTTCACAACTGAAAAATAGGAAGCATTCCATCTTTTTGTGAAAACAGCCATTAACCTAGCCTTAACTTCCTCTTCAATTTCAAATATATATATATATATATATATATATATATATATATATATATATATATATATATATATATATATATATATATATATATATATATAATCATACAATGGGTCAAGATGGCCGAGCAGATTAAAGCATATGCATTAAACGTTACAAACAGAAACATTGTAGGTTCCAAAGACAATAATCTAGTAATTAAAATAAAAAAGGATATATTTAAATAAACTTTACTTTCACTCTCGCTCCCAGAGTATGTGGTGACCGTCATTCTACTCGAGGCAACTCATACTAAGGGGAGGCAGGGAGGAGATAGGAGAGGTGACTCTTCCTCGTCTAATGTAATTCTGAATCACGGTGTTAGCTTTGCTAGATGTTAGTAGTCACATCAGTGGTTTTGTCCATTGTATGTTCTAACGAATGGAATATAGGCCCTCATGCACTTGCTGACTCCTAGCGCAGCCATAATCCTTGGATCTAGACCGATTTGTCACTGCCCTTGAGGACTCCTGTGAGGGAGTCATTAACTCATTGAGGGAGGAAGGACAAAGTCAGATTGACCATGAAGGGATCAGCTGTGAAGCATCAGTTTTCTATCAGCTATCGGTATAGCTTGGTGAAATTGGCTCATCACCAAGGAGATCATGGTTCGTAGAAAGGTGAGTTTGAGTGGTCAAAAAAACTACTCCTCATTAAAATTTGAATTTTTCTAATATTACTGATTGTTTCTAAATATTTTTACAAAAAAAAAAATAAATAACGTTCAGAAGAAACTTTTATATCTATCAAAGGCGTTTAGAATTTTAAAGAAATTACCGAAATATGATAAGCTTTTCTGATTTCTAAAATGTATTAAGTTTGGAAAAACCTCTTTTGTTTTGGTTACGATAGTTCCATGAATATATCTGTATATTAACAGAGAACTGACAATGCATGACGTTCATGTTTATTCCTTGAACAGGAAGATAATCGTTTTGTTTTTAACATTTTTTTTTTATGATCTCTAATTTCTAAGTAAAGCTATACTTACAATTCCTTCCCTATTTATAAAAGTTGTATTTTTATTTATTATTTTGTGATGAGGAAAAAATAACAAATTTAAACCATTTACAGTGTAATTGAATGTACGGTTGGAAGTGCCTAACTACATTTGTTGTAGAATATTCGTTGATTTTGACGTTCTTGGGACGCTAATAAGATAGTATAGATATAAGAAAAAAAAATTAAATTGTAATAGTATGATTTCAATTAGTATTTGTTGGAGCAAAGCTATTATTAAGTTCATGCGTAAGGAATGTTTATAGCACTATGCATATTAAATAATGTTAGGTATATAGTTTATATAGTTCTGAAACCATAAAGTGGGTTGATCCCAGTCAAATTAACTTTATAAAATTTTAATCCTATTTTCCAAAGGTATTAAGGCGAAATGAATTAAGGCTACATGTTATCGGGATGTAATTGATTCCCTTAAGATCATGTTTTATGATAATTCTTTCTGTGTCAAACACTTGAGAGAACGGCACACGAGTGCCATTACATAACAAGGCCAATGTCCAATCAATAATCTGCAGGACCTTATAGAATCAGTTATGTAACTTAGATTAATATCTTCTTTTTTCTTAATATCAAAGGAATCAGTCTTAATTTCTTTACCTAATACGATTATTTTGCATGTTATCTTATTCAAATATATGTGTATATATATATACATGTATGTACTTATTTGACAAGATAGCCAAACACTAGAATTATCTGAGTAGGTAAATTATTTATATTAATTATTACTGTTTTTATTTAATATATTTTAGACCACAGGTATAAATAAATTTTTATGCTAGCGCGATCGACAAAATTAAAATATAAAACGCCGAAATATATGTATGCCTACAATGGAATAGATAAAACAATTGAATTCTAACCCCCACCCCCTCCATTCCAACTCAGTAAAAATACAGTCTTGAATAAAAGGATGGTAACATCAGACTTAATGTCTTCTACAAACTAGGTACATATTTTAAGATCGAATTATTATATTCCTTCTTTATTTAGAAATAAGATTAACATCGCATTTAAAATTTTTATTTTGTACTTTTTAAAAATTACAACAAAAAACTCTGAAATAAAGAATGGATTATCAAAATTTATACAAATGATATTTTTTTTTTTATAAAATGCTACATGATTGTTAATTATTATTAATTTAAACCAAAATGTATTATATCATATACTAAGTTTAAAATATAATAATAATATAGAATAAGGACAATGCATTTTCAGAAATTTTGAATATTTTAAAGAAATTTGATTAAATTAAAAATGTTTACAGATTCTTCAAAATATTTTAAAAAGCCGAAACTTTAGCAAAATAAAGAAATGCAATAAAAACCTATTCTATTGTTTACCAGTGGTCTAAAATCTATTAAATAAAAACATAACAAAATGGCACCTGACGTAAAGAAATATGACAAGAAAATTAATAGTAACGATTTACGAACTTGTTCTAGTAGTATAAAATTCATTGAAAAAAAGAATGTTAGTCATTCGCTTCACCATCGTAAATCTAACGTACAGCTAATATTTACAATTCATTGAATACTAATAAGCTTTTACCGTTAATAATTAATTTTTTTTTTCTAAATTACTTGAGATTTCAGGGTTGTCTTCTTCTTCATAACTTACCTAGGAAAGCAATCGTACCAAACATTTCATCATTACATTTTATTAAAAAATAAAACAAATATTACTATCACCCGTTGTATATCAATTCAACTGATAAAAATTATTTTGTCATATTAAACAAAATTTATCCAAAACTAGGCCACTATTACTCAACTTGTTTATTCAATTATTTTTCTGGATTACTATTTTTTTTATTTGAACAATCTGTTCTTACAGTAGGCATGAAACACTGAACGTTTAGGTGACAAAATAAAATATAACACAAATCAGAATTGTGCATAATGAAATAAAAACATTATGTTAAATACCATGTTTTATAAAAATTATCATGTATTTTTATTTGTCTTGTATGTCTGAACTTGTATTGAATTAGTTGTCCATAGTCAGTAAGATACTTTTATCTATAAAATATTTATAACTCATAAAATGTCATTTATTGATAAACTAATTACTTTCTATATTAAAATCATACTATAGATATAAATTAGTTTGTCAATGAATAAATTGCTATGAGTTATTAATAATTTATGCAATGTTAAGTATGATAGGCTGTCTGATTTTTATTATAGTTTTTTTTTAAAGATGTTTAGAAATATTAAAAACTGGGAATAAAAGGTGGTCTGCAAAAATGTTTGGTCGTGACCTCTGTCGCTAACATGTGAAGATAAAGAGTTTATATATGCCAAAAGGCCTAATATTTTTGTAGGTCACCTTTTTCTCAACTTTTTAATTAAATTATTTTACGATTCAAGTGGAAGCAAATGAGTATTCATGAATTTTTAGTATCACGTTAAATTAATTAATTTAATGAGAAAGCGCTCCATTTATGAGAATTTTCTTAGATTAAAAGTTGTAGGTCACGATAAGATGAGGCTATTCGCGAAGTTTTAGACGGATGTTAATAATTAGATGAAAAGGGGTCTGTACTACGGACTACTTCTGGGGTTCACCCAGCCTCTATAAAGTTGGTACTATTTAGTTAATAAAGGAAGGAGATGGTCCGGGGTTGTGGTCATAAATAGGCTAAATAGTGGCAAAACTATCTTATTAAAAGCCAAGGCCATAAAATAAAAAAATATAAAATTAAATAGGCTTTTGATAAAATAGTTTTGCCACTATTTAGCCTATTTATGACCGCCACCCCGGACCATCTCCTTCCTTTATAATGCAACGGTCAACTATTAAATGTTCAATATTTAGTTAATAATTATTCAGCAGGATAATCTTATGGTCGAGTGTGATCTTCCCCTTGCTGTTCTTAACTAATAATATGTACTGAACGCCAGCCCTTCTATTGGCTGTATTGATAGATACTTTAAAACTATTAGTACATGACTGACTGCCTTATGAGTATAAAATCTTACTAAATTATTTCTCAATATCTGATACGATGTAGATATATGCATCCCGTAATGCTGTTTAGAATCTGTTGCTGACTATATGTAGATTATGCAAATCCACTGATTTCGACTGTTACATCCACAGATGACAAGTTAGTATGAAAATAAAAGTTATTATCATAACAAATAAAGTGGATCCAAGGGTTGTATAATCATAAAAACCTTGTCTAAAAAGCCTCCACAGCCCCCCACCAAAACAACATTCTCTACCCAAACCTGCCACCCCAGCCCCTCCCTGGAGCCATTCCCCAACCGCCGAAAACCCACGAGTGTACCAGACTACACCCGCCCCCGCCCCACCCGCCCCAACCTCACCTATCACTTACCAACCCTCCCCTCACACCTCCCCCCCCATCCAACACCTCTGCACAACCACCACCACACCCCCCACCGCCACCCCCCCGCACACACACCCCCCTCCACAATCCCCCCCCTCCACCCTCCACCAACCCTGCCACGATACCCCCGCAATAACCCCACACCCACCCCCCAATAACGCCCCCCACCACCACCCTCCCCCCACCCCATACACACCATACAACACCCCCTACCCCACAGATATACAGTAAGTCCGCCCACCCCCCCCCGCGCCCCCGCCCGACCTCACACACACCACCTAACGACATCCGCTACCAGTCCTCACATCAGAATCTGTTCCACATTACAACACCCAGTTGTCATTTAACAATCAAAGTATAGCCCAGCCCCCAGACTCGTTATTCGGACGAGTCCTTGGAAAAGGAGGTGCCCTTCCGAATGTCCACTTCGGGTGAGGGGTATGAAACGCCAGACTCACCCTGCATCCTCCCATACGACAGAGATCAAGGCACGCGAAAACCGCCCCTCCCCGCCCTAGCCAACACGTGAGTTTTGTGCCCGAAACTCCCGCACAGATCTGTGAGAAGGAATGTAAAGGTCGAAAGGTCGAGATCTTGTGGAGAGGGAGTGGACTGAGGACTTGAATTGGAGAAGGTTGTAGGTGTAGGAAGGACGATGATTGTTGATGATATGATAGAGGAATGTACCTAGGAAATATTGTCTTCGAATGGGGGGGAAGAGCCACTCTAACTCAGTGTAATGGTGAGAGACATGGTAGTATCTCGGGGCACCAATTACAAATCTCACGCAACTGTTCATTATTCTTTTCAGTCTGTCGCGGAGCTCCACCGAGAGTCCATCATACACCACACAGCAGTAGTCAAAGTGGGGGAAGATGAGAGAGGAAACGAGGAGTCTGCGCGTATGTTGAGGTAGGAGATGGCGGAAGCAATGGAATAGTTTGAGGTTAGAAACTGTCCGTCGGGAGATGTGAGAAATATGGTGACTCCAGGACAGGGTTTGATTAATAAATAGTCCTAAATTTTTTACAGAGGAGTAGAAGGAGATTGGCTGGTGACCAAAGTTTAGTATGGGAAAGTCCGTATAGGATCTAAGGAGGGGTTTGGAACCAATGACAATGGCCTGAGTTTTTGAAGCATGAAATTCTTAATTATTAAGAAAATTCTGAATCATCATCCATGTAAATTATTGTATTTTATTATTTACAATGGAAAAGTGATAAAAATGGATCGAAACATCGATAACTGTAAATGTATTATGAAATAATTAACAAGTTTAATATTCCATTCGTTTCTTGAACCATTGTCATTGTATATCTCATCACTACTTCAGGTTACCGGACGTATCGTCTAAGTTATTATGGTTGTGATCGTATTAATGAAGAAAACAATATACATTATTTACAATAAAACTGCATAAGGAAGCAATGAATTTTAAAAACCCCCAAAAAAATTATTATGAATTTTGTTTTATCAACAGCAATATCATGAAAATTAGAAAATCCGTGGATAAAATTGTTTTGAACAACATAAAAAATCTTTATATTATGAAGGCATTATTTTTTTTTCAGTTTTGAGCATTATTTGCAATCAGTATTAGGATTTATGAAGATCAACTTTTTGAATTATTATGATTGGATGCTTGTTTTATGTTATTTTTAGGTTGTTAAGGTTTAGGTGATACCATAATTATCGTACATCATTGATTGTATATCATGTTTATTTTTCATATAATAGACATAACATTCAGTAAAAATTATTTGAAAAATGTTATCGTTCATTGAACATGTAGAGATATATTATAATTCAGTACTTATGTTTTGCTTGTTCGCTTACAATCTGCAAGCTCTCGAGTACCACCAGTGTTATATGTACCATAATCGAGAATCCCAATTGTATAGATAAAGTATAATAAACTTCAGTATTCCATTTATATAATCAAGGGCGTCAGTATATAGATAAATTTTCGTCCAATCCACGAAAATCAAGTGTATCTTCTTTTAGACGCAACTATAGCTATACACATGACTCTCATCTGGACTTTCCTTGCAGGCAAATGTGATGTTCTGCGAAAGCATATCGGCTTCATAAATTTGAAAGATGAATATTGGCCAAATCCTTGAGGGAGATGTTTGGCGAAATCACACGAGTAAAAGCCCTAGAGGTACGAAAAAAAAATCTTTAAGCTAAGAAGACTATGTTAGATCGTTCATGTAGGATGAACTACTCCAAAATTCTCAAAAAACCTTAATCCATAAGTCTTTCTTTAGATTGTAGAATTGAAAGGCCAAAAGCAAGATGGGAAGATGGAAGGCAGCTGATGTTAGACTGCTCCTTGACATCCAAAATTGGACAGCTGAGACTCAAGATTATTAATTCCTTTTTCATTTTTCTCTGCCATCGAAAAAAAAAAATCAACAGCTTTAATTTTGTTTTTATAAAGTGATCGATAAATTTCAAGGTCCACTTGACCCCAAAACCTGTTGAACTGATAAAATTCCTATCTTGATATGATAAGTAAAAAAAAAAAAAGTTATATGCCATCTAAAATTTAAAAGGCATTCATATGCAAAATATAAAAAGGAAAGAGAGGTTTTAGAATGTAAGAAATAAAAAAATGTGAATGGGTTTAACCAATTTTATGTAACTAACACATTTTTTTTTTTTAATATTTCATTGAATGACTGTATAATCTGCCTCATGAAGGGCAACAAGTATTAGTGTTTCAAGAGTTCATTCATATAATATATACAAAAAAAAAAAAAAAAAAAAAAGAAAAACAGGAACCAAATAGAAATAATAATAAAAGTAATTTTCAATATAAGTAACACAATTAAAATTTATATATATATATACATATATATATATATATATATATATATATATATATATATATATATATATATATATATATATATATATATATATGTATATATATATATATATACATATAATACATATATATATACATATATATATATTTTCTTCATTTTTATTTATTTAAAAAATGCCAATTGAGAGGTAATTTTTTGTAACGAGAAATTGTTTGAAAAACCTAAGATTGTTTTTTTATATTCTAAATAGTTAAAATCCAAAAAAAAAAAAAATGAATCATGTTCTACTTAGAACTTTTTTATGCAAATCAAATTTTTAATTATGATTCGTGAACTGTGGTTTGTGAATATTATAAAATTATTAAATATATTACTTTCTTTGACTCATTTATTTATCTTTATTAATTTACGTCACTTTCTTGTTACTTATGTATTTCTCAACAGCTCAATGCGTCAATTAAACCTCCGTCAAACAGACTTAGTTTTATAATACACAAAACATGAGCTGTTGCATGCTGATTCGTCAGGAACCATGGCGTGTATGTTTAATATAAAATTTATCATATGAAACAAGAGCCTGGTATTGCTATAATACAATTAACTGGTTGATTATGTTTGTAATTTGAGTAATTGTGTTGTATTATATATCTGTGGATTGCAGCTCTGGGTCATTGCTGGAATATTTCACATCGAATTAATATTTTAACAAATTGTTAAATAATAAATTAATTGATAATTAACAAAATGGTAACAATTTTTTAAAGTAAAGCAATACAATTTCTAAACTATACTTTATTAAATTACATTATATTTAGTTTGTAACGTTGAGGAATTTTCGTTTTGTCTATTTTAGAACACTTTTTTCTTAATTTTTAACAATAAAAAAAACAGACTTCAAAATTGGCTAAACAAAAATGGATCGAAACGTTACAGACTAAATATAAGGTAAAGTTAATACATTTCTTATCTTATTTTTTATTTCTTAATGATATTTACAACTTTATTAAAGAACATATAGATATAATGACGTGAAAGCACTTGTTGAGAAAGTACCCAATGGTAGCACTCTAATAAAGTTTGTAAATTATGAGATCACGAGGCCATCTTGTTTTCAGAAGCTTAGGAGACTTATCAGGAATCGAGGAGGAAGCAAGGTTAGAAACAAGAGGATTAGGATGGTTCTAAAATTTACTATAGAAGGGTAGGTATCTGGATTGAGCCAAATCGGAAACATGTGGAACATTACTTCTCATACAAAGGATATTGGATTGTAAAGATTGGATACGAGAGAGATTCGATGATTTAGTGCAATAAAATTTAATTTAAACATTGTATTATTTTACTTTTCGAAAAAAAGTGTTACCATTTGTTAATTATGAATCAATTGACTATAAAACAATCTTTTAAAATATTAATTCGATGTGAAATATTCCAGAAATTATTCAGACTATAATAACTATAATAATTAAGTAACTATAATAATTACGGTGCTATAAGCCAAAAAATACAAAATATTCTTTAAATATATCCATCATTGGTGCGCTTAGCCTAATTAATCAAGTATAAAAAATGTTCAATATTCCTTAATATAAGTAAGTGAGTAACCTAAGGAAAAAAATAGCACAGATTATGTAATTTAACTTTCAATTCACATGCACTATATTTCTAAAAATATTACTGTGAATATTCATTAGTTCGTTGGCTTTTCTAAAGAAACACCATTATCCTTGGAGCGGTAACCATTTACTAACTATCCAACCTACGTTACAACAGATAACGGTTTAAATTAACAAAGAAAAATACTGTTTTCGAGTTATGTTGCTTTAACAAAATATTATTTGCCGTACATATCATACTGTATTTTTCTAGTGGAAGAATCTTTCCCGAAAATGGGAGTCAGTCAGGATTACCTTGATTTTCTGCTATTTAACCATTCTCTCGAGAAAGCTATTATATATTCAGATATTCGGACAAATAGGGGATATTCAGATGATGTGAAAGTTTTGGGTGATCTATCTACGAGGTAAGAATGACATTCGAGGTGTCAGAATATATAGCATGGAGGTTAGGACTCATGATAAATGAAGAAAAGACAAAATACATGTGCAGACTACCTACACATGCAGAGGATGAAAGGAATGTCCCACTGGGAAAATAAAGATTTGAGAGACTTTAATCGTTCATTCACTTAAAAACATAAGCGCAGACTTTTGTGGAGGATGAGAGGAGAACGAAAAAGACCATCGCCACCCTGATAAAAATTGAGAGGGGACCAGAATATCGTTTAAAATCCCTCCCAGAATATTCCAAAGAAACATTATTTAAAAAAAAAAATTAAATAAAAATCAATTAAAATGAATCTACGTAGTGAATCTAATATGTTAACTAAAATCAATT